CCTGGCATCGCTACTAGGAGCAAGGACGCTACTAGGGGCTCCTGGCCATATTACTAGGAGCAAGTAGCTAGTTACTAGTAACAAGAAGCTACTAGTAGCGATGCACTTGTTACTAGTATTTGATGGGCCTCGTGATTCCACTTCGGATTGTGTCTTTAAGGGCCACTAGCAGTCACTAGCTTTGGGCCAAGCCACGCGTGGAATTTGGTCTCCTTCGTGGCTCTCCTTGGAAAGTCGCCGAAGAACATCTTCCCGTCCAGTTTCATATGTGCATTGGTGTTTACAGTCAAGAAGCTCTTGGTGCACCAAGAAAATACTAGAGTATCAAAGCAATACCTAGACTTCCAGATGTAAGTTTCCCTAAAAATCTAGGAACCAAATCATTAGTGCAAGCGCTTCCTTGAAGAAGCGTGAGCTATCCTGCATCCTGTCGGTAGTAGCTACTTAAGCTACTAGCTTACCTAGCTAACCTACCTCCTACTACCCCCCCCTTAAAACAAACATTCCAGTGTCTTTAAATCATTAGTCATTCCTTCAGCTCCAACATGCACCGCCCAAAGAACCAGCCAACCCACCTCTTCCTGCTGAGCAAGACGCGAACGACCGGGCAAGCTGGTCGGCCGAGCCGAAAAGGCCACACGAGTTCTGGTTTGGGACTTGCCAACACTGTTTTGGTCAAGAAAAAATAGACAAAAACAAAAGCATCGCTACTAGTAACAAGTGCATCGCTACTAGTAACAAGTGCATCGCTAGTAGTAGCTTCTAGCTACTAGTATTAATGGCCTCCGCCTCCAACCTAAGAGGAGAATATACAAGAATCGTCAGAATCGAATTGGGAAATAGTCAGGAAGTCCAATGATGCCATCGTACCTTTACTTCCTCAGGGATTTCGAAGGAGATTCAGGATTCAATTGTTGAAGAAGAAATCCTTGAGAGTGTCACACCTTGATTGGTGGCGACGTTGGTGATGCAGCACGCCGCTCTGCCTGAGTCCAGCAAAGAAACTAACTGCTGACGTGTCTCAAAATTGTCCTTCCTTCTTCCCAACACCTTGTCTAACAAAGAACAACCATAAACACTCTTAGTTGGTAGGTCCCAGCAGTTTGAATTGAAGACCTAAGTGGTACCTGTCCTGCCCGTGAAGTTCCGTTTTCTTTTCTTGCAGGCTTGGCCCGCAGGGTCTAGCGAAGCCCTTGCCCGCGGCGAGGGAGGGATGTTACACGCCTATCTGGATCTTGTACACAACATCCAGACATCAAATCATGACAAACCACCGACGCAACCAAACAACATGTCCCGTCTGAGGGGCCAAATTTGGCCAAAGTTGCCTGTAAAAACAAGCCAACTTTGGCCTCGTAATTAGACCCGGGCCGCACATGCGAATCTGAGCAAGAAAACACCACACCCTGGCGACCACTGTTTGCTTATAAACTTCTTCCCCTCACAAGTCATTTTTTCACTGTGTTGGGACACTGGCATAACATTATGCTGGCGCAATATCTATATACAGTGTGTATGTATACATTCATGTGTATACACACATACTTCTCGCCAGGGGATTTCCTGCTCCTGTGCCACCCTTTGGTCAAAAACTCATGCTGTCTGCTACAGTAGTCTGCCTCGAGACCTTTGGAAAACGGCCAAATGCGGCCTTGAAACTTCCTCCTCATGGAGGTTATTCCCGCATCATGATAGTGCAGGAGTATCGACAGTGGATTGCACCAGGCGACTTCATCTGGTTCAACTGACCCGAACAAAAACATGATTCAAACATGTGATAATTTCTTTCTCCTGGCGTATTCCGGACTGTTGGAAGGTTCCAAGAGAAAGTCAAGGAACTCTTTCAACAGCTCTTAGCAAAACAGGCTGTTGGCCTCAGGCTTGAACGCTTTCCACGTTTGCCTGTCGTGCTGGAGGCATACAAGTGTTCCGACTTGATGTTTATATACTCCTTTTCTTTACTTGCATGTCATATTTACTTAGTCAATTTCTTCTCTCTCATGAATCAAAACAAGCTCAATCAAGCACACATGTTAAAGCAAAACACTACTTACTTGGATAAACACAACGATGGCTATACCCAAACTAGGTGTCAGCGGTGTTATGGCCCCCCTACATTTTTGATGTTTTTGGAACCTTCTACTGATGCAACACTATTTTGTGTCACCAAACAACGGTCATGATGCTCACCGTGGGGGTTGGGAGTTGAGGGGGGTTGGGAGTCATGTTCGCTTGGATCATCTGCGTGGGTCATGTGATCGGTCTGCTTCATGAACTTCATCTTCATCTTCGTTTCCGGAACATGTGCATTTGGCGTCGGCGTAAATGCATGGTCCTGATTTGAATTTCATCATCATCGTTTCATGAGCTTTATCTTCACGCTCTTCTTCATCCCCGTTTCATGGACTGCATCTCCATCTTTGCCTCACCATCCACAAATCATGATTATGCATTTCCCTCCGTCAAATGCACCTTTTCGTGAATTGAGGCCAAATCCAGATACGCAAAAACACAACAATTCCGAGAGCTACAGTTGACACAAACTTGCAAACACACTGGCTTCTCAAGACTTGACTTGTTCTCTTCACTTCACAGCAATATCTCTACAATTTAGTTGTTATATAGTTGGTGCAGCTATTAAGCAATCCACTACGGCTTCCATGGCTTTGCCTCCTCTTTGGCAGCTTCCTGCAGATGTTCATTCCGTAGCTCAGTGCATCTCTGAACCCTGGAATCAGTGTTGTCCTTATTCCTTATACTTTTTACAATGGCAGTCTTCTTAGCGTTGTAGCAGGCACAGCCATTTTGCCTTGACCTCTCTGGTGTACTGCGACTTTGGACAATGAGGCCTCGCTAACTTTCGTCCAAGTAAGTCATCCTGTAAACCTGCAACTCTAGAAAGACTACGCAGAACAAAGACACCATGCCACGGCCAAACATGTGCACATCGGGTCATTTCTCGTTCTCCTGAGCAAAAGCTGCCGCATTCTCATCCAAGCGCGCCAAAACCGCTTCGGCGCCTCTGAGACATGCAATATCATGACATCAGTCGTGTTTCATAGAAATCTGTCGTCTTAGACCGGGCACTCTAGGACGGAACATCCCATGCTCTTAGCAATTCCTATGTTTTCTTTCTCTCGAAGCACATCATTGTTTTGTTGATTTACATCAGTGAATCCAAAAAGTTAAGTGTCCCAAACATCTAGAAGCCAAATCATTAGTGCGTGAGCTATCCTGCGTCCTAGCTAGGAGCGAACTTCTCCTAGTAGCTTACTTCTCCCGGCAGGGCCACGGGCCAAGGGCACAAAAATAAATAGACAGATTACGTCTTGCATTCTTCTACACAGATCTACGTCTTGTTGCCATCCAGATTATCTGCCACGATCTTGGCATCCACTCCACGCCTTCAGGTCTAACTGGCATACCCAGTTCATGACATCGCAGGAGGAAGTTTCGCAAGTTAAGGAAAATGGTCTTCACGTGAAAGTTGATGAAGCCCACCTTGGAGGTGCTTCTCGGTGGATGCTGACAGCTTCAGAAAGCTTCAGAACGCTTTAGAAGCATGCAAGAACGCTACTAGGGGCTCCTGGCATCGCCACTAGGAACAAGAACGCTACTAGGGGCTCCTGGCCTTACTACCAGTAGCAAGAAGCTACTAGGAGCAAAGGGCATCGCTACTAGGAGCAAGAGCGCTACTCGTGGCCTCGGCTCTGGTACACTCTCCTCCGAACCTCCAATCCCGACTCCAGCTATCCAATCCCAAATGACCAGTAGCGTCCTTGCTCCTAGTAGCGATGCCAGGAGCCCCTAGTAGCGTCCTTGCTCCTAGTAACCAAATTTATTCTTGAAACCTGGTAGTGCCATGTAGTGGAGTGTAATTTGATTCTTGCTGTCCTGTAAGCATGGACAGGTCATGCCAGTCATGCTCAACTGTTCTTTTCTGCCAAGTTTCTGAGGACTTGGGGATGCAGTTTGTTCGGCCTTAGACAAGCCCCGAGCTTCTGCTCGATTGAGTCTCAAGCGCCTTGGAATATAATGCAGATCAATAACCACTCGAAACAAACACTCAAATGCAAACAGGCAACGGTCGTGCAAGGGATTTGGCATTCCGCCGGCTGAGAGCACCTACTCTGGGAGAGACTTCTCCAGAGCACACACTGAGATCGACTCGTATTTACTGGAGCTATGTCTCACCGAACCTTGACATGCCAAAACTTTAGAAGCATACAAGAACGCTACTAGGTGCTCCTGGCATTGCTACTAGTAGCAAGAAC